AAAAAAAAAAAAGAAAATTGAAATCAGGGTTTGTGGATAATAGTGTCAGCTAGTTGATTTCCATGCTTTGCAGCACACCCAGAGAAGTGGCAGTTTGCTCCACCAACCCACTTTGCAGGCTCAGTTTTCTCAACTAAGCAAAGGCAGCAGCCGAGCATTATTCTCAAGTCTGCACAAAGCCAAGTAAACCAGTCGCACAGTTGAACATGTTGGTGATTTCCTGTGCGTTAAACTTCAGTGCAGAACACTTGGAAATGAAATTCAAGGCCGGGCATGGTGGCTCACGCTTGTAACCCCAGGTTTTGGGAGGCTAAAGTGGGAGGATCACTTGAGGCCACAACTTTGAGCAACATAGCAAGACCTTGTCTCTAAAAGATAAAAAAAATTTAAAAAAAGAAATTCAAATTCATGTTTGTAAAACCCAAAAAGCCGTGCATGGAACCCTGAAGTCCAGTTTGGACGCCACTCACTCCTCCCAGGCTTGCGCAGGGGCCAAATCCCATGCACTAGAGACCTCACGTCCTTCCTTCCCTACAGGAGCTCAACCGCACGTGCCGGGCCATGCAGCAGCGGGTCCTGGAGCTCATCCCCCGCATCGCCAATGAGCAGCTGACGGAGGAGCTGCTCATCATAAATGACAATCTCAACAACGTGTTCCTACGCCATGAACGGTAACTCCGCCTCCTGGCCTCTGGCCACCTGCCCCAGCCTTGTCCCTGTCCTTCCCTGTTCTCCTGGTGTCCTCACACCGTCCGAGCCATCTCTCATCCTCTTCTCAAACACTAGGCAGGCTCCCCACGTCACGGTCCCTCAGCTGTCTCCTTCCAGCGTGTGCGTGACTGCCCCATCCTTCGCCCAGCCTGTGTCTCCTTTCCAGAGTTAGCCCTGCTACCTGCACCCGAGTCCAGCCCTGCGAGATGGTCACGGTCATGGCTGAGGGCATAGGCCCTGCAGCCACACAGGCCTGGTCTGTCCTTGTTCATTCCACTACTTCCTGCCTCAGGGGCCTCAGACAAGTTACTTGACCTGCTGCAAGCTACACAAAGCGCTTCTGGCTAACTTAAGCAGAAAGAGAATTTATTAGAAGAACAGACTTTATTAAATGGGTAGCTTTCAGGATCCAAAGAAGAGTGAAACAGCGAAGCTGCCCGGTACAGCAGGAGGGACAGATCCCGGGGCAGCTCAGAGGTCTCAGGAGCAGAATCTCCTGGACCGTGTTCCCAGGATGCCACCATCAGCAAATGGATTGGCTCAAACACTTGTCCACCTTGTCTCATTCTGTTCGAGTCACATCCCAGAAGAGACTCTGATTGGCTTAGTTTCATCGTGCCCACCAATTGGGGGAGATGAGAAGGCCCCTGACGGCAGTCCCCCCAGGATCCCGTGAAATGGGGGAAGAGCAGCTCCCCAGAAGCACTTCGGTGCTGTTACAGAAGAGGGAGAAGGGCCGCCAGGCCTGCAGAAATGGCCCGCCCGTCACACTGCCTCTGTTCAGCGAGGCTCATGGCGTCACTGACAGTCCATGAGATGACCCCTGTTAAGCACTTAGTGACCAGCGGTGTCTGGTGAATGATACTAGTTATTCCAGCCTCCTCCAGCCCCTTGTTCATTGTTTCTGTCTTTATCCACCAGCGGACACTGGCTCAGTGATTCTAAGTCAGCAGAAAGCAGGGTGGGACCCCTAGGGTCACATCTGCCCAGCCTCTCCTGTTCATTGGCCTAGTGAAATGAAAGGGTCCCTTCTCTGCCATTTTGGGGTGTGGGCTGTGAGGTGGCTAAGGGGCCCAATCTGGGGGTGACTAGTAACCCACTAACACCCACAGTCATTGTGCCTAGCATTTGCCAGTGCTTTCCAGATCACAGTCACTTAGACTCAGTGTCTTTACTTGGTTCTCACCACACCTGGGAGGTAGGTGCCCACAGATACTAGACAAGGAGGCTGAAGTTCAAAAGTAATGTAATTCACCCAAGGTCACACAAGAGGTGACCGGGCCACGGCTCAAACGGATCCCAGACCAAGGCCTTCCTGATCTACCTCACCAGCCCCTCGGCCCTTACGTGGCTCCATAAACAGGGTCAGAGTTTGGTGCATCTTTCTTACAGTGGTTTGGAGAGAGAGAGAGAAAGACACACACACACACACACACACACAAATACGCAAGTATGTAATGGAAACAAGTGTCACGGTGCAGCCTTACCTTTACCGTGTGCTATGCACTCCTGTTTTCTTTTCTGTTAGAATGTAGTTCGGTTTGTTCGTGCTGGTCGTGACTGGGGTGGCCATATAACTGAAGCCTAACCTGGGACACTTGCAAGTGAAAGAGGGACACTGTTAGCAATGACCTGGGGGCTGCAGGCGTAAACTGGATCTGTCCAGCGCGAACCAGAATGTGTCGTCATCCTGCCCATGACTCGCTGTGTTGAGTTTAAGACCCGCAATTAGAAAAGGTCTGCATGGCTATGCTGAGCTGGCCTGTCTCAGTCTGTCTCCTTGACTCGGGTCTTTTCTTTCTTGTAGGTTTGAACGGTTCCGAACAGGCCAGACCGCCAAGGTAAAAGGCTGCTTTTCTGTGACTAGATCATGCCATATTGATGGGGAGGAAGGCTGTTCTCACCCCTCTCCCCCAGCGTCTGGACAGGATGGTGCTTTCCTATCCAGGCTCGTAGAGAAGTCCCCTTCTCATGTTTTACGCCACTGTCCTTTAAGGCAGATAAGCCTGTGCCACCAGCTGATGCCCGGGGGTTTTGCCAACTTCCCAGGGGGTCCTAGAGCCAGTGGGAGGAAGAAAAGCTCCCTGACTCCCAGTTAGAGCTGCTGGGGCCCTGGTGACAGCTCCCGGGGCAGAGACTGCAGGCCCCGTGCTTGGGGCGGAAGGGAGCGAGGCTGCAGGCAACGGGGATGATTGGGGCATCTCCCTCCCCCCAGACCCCGAGCGAGGCCGAGCCAGCAGCTGACCTGATCGACATGGGCCCCGACCCAGCAGCCACCAGCAACCTCTCATCCCAGCTGGCGGGAATGAGTAAGTGTGCTTTAGGGGCCTCCGGCGGAGGGTACATTATGGTGCTGTGGGGACCCTACGGTCTGGGGGTACCCTCCGTTATACACCACCAGCAGCACGTTGGTACAGAGCCAAACCTCGCTGTAAGGTTGGGCACTCAGGACAACTGCCCCTGGCAACCCCCAAATTCCTAAGCCCCCTTGAGCTCAGAAATCCCACCATCCCGTGGTTGTCCCTCTACACTGACTTCACCATGGCTTGAATCATCCGAGTGAGGTTGGGCAAGTTACTTGAACTTCTGGAGCCTCTTTCCTCTGTAGCAGGAGTGGGGATGGGCCCTCCCTCCCAGGTTGTCGCAAGGTCGAGTAGGCTCATGCGTGGGAAGTGCCTAGACCACGCCATGGCCTGGATGAGCAGTGGCAGTCATCACCCTTATCACTGTGACCGGTTTTAAAATTACCGACTGCCTGCTTCGTGCCAAGCCCTGGGAAACCATTAGGATCCCATTTTGAATCACTAATGCTACACTTTTTGAAAAATCAACCACAAATCTGATCACCGTCCTCCTGCCCAGCCACTTTCTCTAGCAGACACGATAGGCAGCATTCCACCTGTTCTCTAACCCTCACAGCAGCCCAGTGGGGTGACTGTATCTCCACCTTAGAGATGAGCAAACCACCGCTGGGCAGAGGAGGTGGCTTGCCCAAGGTCCCACACCAGCAGGTGCCCGTCCCTCCCCCACCCCCCAGGCCATGCTGCTCCCCAGCACCGAGCCCTGGGCCTGGCCGGGAGCAGCTCAGCAGCGGCTCAGCGCACAAGGACAGTGGGTGGACCCTGCACGTGCCTTTCTGTCCCTGCAGACCTGGGCTCCAGCAGTGTGAGGGCTGGCCTGCAGTCTCTGGAGGCCCCCGGCCGACTGGAAGACGAGTTTGACATGTTTGCGCTGACACGGGGCAGCTCACTGGCTGACCAACGGAAAGAGTGAGTAGCCCGGCCCTGCCCTGGTCCCCTGCAGTTTGGGTGGCTCTCTATTAGGGAGAGCCTCTCTCAGGGTCCCTGAACCTGGCGGACCCCCTGCCTACACCCCCTAGGACCCTCTGAGTCAGTCCAGCATGGCCTGGGAGCCCTGTGGTCAAGTGACAGACTACATGCCCCACAGGCAGGGATGGGTGGGGAAGCAGCGCCTACAGGTTAGTGACCAACTGTGTGTCAGAATCTTATGTAATCTGGTGAGAGGGGAAACTGAGGCACTGAGCAGCAGGGGCATTTGCCCCAGGTCAGGCGGCTAGTATTTGGCAGCACTAGGTTAAGAGCCCAGGGCTGTCTGGCTCCAAAGCACAGCATCCCCGCCCCATCCTCCTCCTCCCTGCACTGTACACCACACACCGAGGCCTCCAGGGGCGGGGAAGCTTCACGATAAATCCTCAGGGACTTTAGAGTCAAGTCTTTTTTGTTGTTCCACAGCCACCCTAAATCTCCAGAGAAGTCTCTGTTGCGCCACTGAGGTGTGCCCGCTTTGCCCAGAGCTGGGGCTCTGTCCTTCCCAGTGGACTGTGCATTTTCGGGGAGGTGCTTTCAGCAGCACAGACACACGACCTAGTGTGTCTTCCAGGCCCGGCTCCTCGCCCTAACTCCCCGGGGACTGGCTGCTCGCAGGCTGGCCAGGGGACAGTCTGCTCTATGTTCTGTTTTCAGCCCTTTGCTTATGACCCCCAGGGCTGAGCTGTGGGCAGCCAGGACCTTACAGCTAAGGAAGGTTCTGGATTAAGGGATCCTCTCTGCTGACCCCACTTGACTCCTTAGTGGTCTACTGGTGTCTTTCGGAATTTGGCCATTGGGCCTCCAGAGAGCCCAGGACGCCTTTTCCATACCCACAGATGTAGGTCAGACCTGACAGGCTGCAGCAGCCTGGCCCCATGGGGTTGCCCTGGGATGGGAGCACTAACCTGGTCACTAACCTGGCCGTGTCTTTCTGTATCCGGGCAGGTCTGCACTGCCACGCCCAGGTGCTCTGGGACCAGCAGCTCACAGGTGCCCTGGAGTAGGGCACTGCTGAGGCTGCCGAGCAGAGGGAAGCTAATGCGTCTGGTGGGACTTGCAGCCAGTGGGGTGGCCCATCCACATAGGCCCCTGCAGGCAGCTCTACTGGCCACAGTGGAGAGCCCTTAGCACCTGGCTGGCCCACCAGCCTGGGTGAGGTTTGCTGTTGCACTGTTACTCCTCTGGGAGCTGGAGGCAGGAAAAGCGCGCCAGGAGCTCGCCCTCCAGGGCCCGCGGTCTCACAGGGACAGTGATGTGTGCCTGGACCATTGCTGTGCAATGCTAAGTGCTGTCCTGGAGGGGGGTTCCAGGCTCTGTGGACACAGAGGAGAGGGCATGCCACTCTGCAGAGGGCACTCAGGGCTGGACCAGGCAGTGGGTGGTCAAGAAGGCCATTTCAGGCACTGGGAACAGCATGTGCAAAGGCTCAGAGGCAGGGTGAAAGAGCAGTGCTCTGGGTCCTGCACAAGGACCCAGGGAAGGGGGCAGGATGCTGGGAGGGTGGCGGGGCCTGCCAGGCTACACAGAGGCAGTTGATTTTATCCTAGCATTAGCAATAGGGAGCATGGGAAGGGTTTTTTCTTACCAGAGTTGCATCTTTGAAACTCCCTGGGGCTGGGCACAGCTTACACGACATCACGCACCTTCTCAGGCCCTGGCTTCTGCAGGCCCTCCCAGGGCTTGGTTCCCACCCCAGCAGAAAAGATCCAGCAGGGACAGGAGTGTGCCTTAGCATCAAGTTCCCCTCCCTTTGTTGTCGTGCCGGGCCGGCCCACCCTGTGCTTCTGGTGGACCGTCTAGCTCTGGGCACCTGACCGGCCTTTTCTGCCTGCCTGGCTCCCCACCTGCAGCCAGCTCCACCTTGGCTGGCGGGGAAGCCCCAGCTCCTTATCAGCCCCGTTTCTGCTCCAGCTCCAACCACAGCTGGCGCCGTCACAGCCCGTCCACCTGGTGCCAAGGAGCAGCAGGGGCACCTCAGCCAGGCCTTCCTGGAGGTGGGATGCTTCCTCACCCTCTTCCACGTCGTCCTGGGAACATGCTCTATGCCACTGTGCACAGATACCTCTTGTCCAGGAAGCACTTAGACAGGTGTTACCGCAGGTGGCCCCAGGTCCAGCCCCGCTCTACCAGCCTCACCTGAGGAGTGGCCCTCCTCCCTCTTGCACTGACGTGGGGCAGAGGCCCCTGCCCAGGGTCTGCA